ACATAAGGCCAGGAAATCTGGGATTAAGCTACCTTTAAAGAAGCCTATATGTGTTAAAATAAACAAAAGAAAATGAAGGGCCACACACAGTCCTTATTCTCACAACAGCGATACCCGGCAATAATCATTGTTTATTAGAGATTTGTTAGATTTTTCGCCTAGTCCCTTTTGTAATGCAACTGCCCATAACTAAAAAGCATGAATTGTTGAGCTCACCTCGGTCTTAAACTCTTGCCTACAAAATTCTGTAATTTTATGTTAAAGATGACATACATAAATACCATGCATTCTTTTTAATGATTTTAAGATATATTGTCAACACTGATTTCTGAACTTTTAAGTAATGACTTAACCCAGAGCACTATAAAGCAGTCAGAGCGCGCCTCTCAGTTAAGCCAAGATTACTGCTGATTTGCATTACTGCAGCAGACACGGGTCAATATGGTCTTTAATTTATTACTGACCTGCTGCTTTGGAAGATTTCATCAAGAAAACCTGCAGCAAGAGCCTGTCTTTAAGCCCGGTGCCTCTCGGGGTTGCGGAGGCCCCGCAGGCACCCCTTTCTCAGCTCCTACAGCACTGCGACTCTGACACGCAACTGAGCTCAAGGAGTGTCACAGGAAATCTTTCAAGCGCTGTCAATTAAGCTAGGCAGGAAAATTATTTGGCTACCACCACACTAAGCAAATTAGTATGGATTATAATAAAAAAATCATGATAAAGATGAGTCAATGTGGCTTTTGGAAAGGGAACTCCTGCCTTATAAACCTCCTGGCACTCTTTTGAAGAAGTCTCCAGCAAAAACCTGGATAGGGATGGTCAGTTGTGACAAGCCTTTTGGAAACCCAAGTAGGCCTCAGCCAAGCCCCTCACTAAAGAAAGGCTCGTCAAGAAACTCAGCAACCATGGGATGAAGGGGGGGTTCCTAAACGGGTGAATACTTGGTTAAAAGAGAGGAGCAGAGGGTTGGAGAAATGATCCCTTCTCTCAGAGGAGGAAGTCGGTGAAGTCCCTCAGTGCCGTGTGCTGACCGGGGACAGCCCAACACATCAAGACCTGGAGAAGAGGATGAGCACAGAGGAGCAAACAGAAGTTTGCTGATGATGTAAGTTACCCTGAGAAGCAGGAGCGGGGGCTGACTGCGAGGAGCTGCCGAAGGACCTTATAGGACCGCGTAACCCGGCCACGCGATACAAAGCAGATAAACGCAGAGTGATGCAGGCGAGAAAGAGCAACCCCAACTTCCCACACAAACGACAGGCTGGAGCTGACACCGCAGGGGCAACGTCTCAGGGCTACGATAAACCGTTGCAGGGAAACTTCCCTTGGTAGCAGTCAAAAAACTGAACAAATGTTAGGAATTAATAGGAAAGGAATGGAAAACAAGAGACTTTGCCATCATACCGTTGCACAAACGCACGGTGCTCCTGAGCCGCGTGCGGCTCTGACACCCCTCCTCAGAAAGGACAGGGTGGAACCGGAGGAAGTTTGGAGAAAGATGATGGAGACACGTAAATACCAGGAATGGCTCACAGCAGTGACTGGGTTACCAAAACTCAGCCTGAAGACATGGGGATGTGGGGACGTGGGAGGTCTCCAACGTGCCGGAAGGCCTGGAGAGGGTGAGCATGGTCACCATCTCCTCCAGGTGATGCACCAGGGTGTCACATGAGAAGTCAGGCTGAAAACAACACGGGGCAGCTCTTGGCAGAGGAGTGACCGGCTGGTTATTTCAGCGGGTTCAAGCACGGTGTTACTAACGCCGGCGCTGTGGATTCAGCCCCTTTACAACCCACCAGGCTCCAGCAGACGACACTTCCTAGCCTAGGAGAAGTAGGATGAATCAAAAACGGGAAGCACCTGCCTCCCTGCGGTGAGCACAGAGGCGGAGGTGATGCTGTGCCCTCCGGCCGTGCCCAGCCTGCCGCCCCGCCGCTCTGACGTCCTCGCAGCGACCAGGGATCCTCATAAGAGGTACTCGAGCTGTTCATCTGACTCCGTCTGTGGCATACATAATCAAATAGATACAGCAATCTGCAGCGACTTATTTTAATTACAACCTAATTTCTTTAAATTATAGACTGTGTACAAGATTTAGTACCATTTTAAGTATTTAGAAGATCTGAAGAGTTCATGTTATTCCACTGTTAAGATCATTGAGATAAAGAAAAGATGAATAAAAATACTAAATGTCTTCAGGGATGCCTTTATTTTAATGCAAACTAATTCATAAGGCTGTTTGCAAATGCTCCATATAATTAATTTTCTTTGCCAAAAGTTTGACGAGCTGGGGAATTTGCTCTATGTTTCCATATATAATGAAGAAGTAAATAGCTCAGCTCAGTGACGGCGCAACCCCGGAGGCCCTGCAGCAACGCCCGGCTGCGGAAGAGACCCTGGGAATCGCTGGCAGACGATGGCGATTAGAAAGCCTGAGGAGAGACAGGGCTTGCAGCCACGTGCCCGGCGCAGACGCGGCGCGCGGCAGTCGCGGTCGATGCGGGGAGCGCTCGGGGACGGCAAAGGAGACCGCGAGGATGACGTGGCGCTCGGACGGGTCCTCCGAGGCTGTCTCGGCGCTGGGGCCCCAGCGCAGCCCGCGCACAGGGGGAAAACGACCGTGTGCCTCCCTGTACATCCCAGCAGCACGGGCAGGAGCGCTGCGCGTGGTCCCAAGGCAACTGCGCTCATTTCCCAAGCTAATCTGTGCTCATCTGCCCTCTTCTGGCTGCCATTTGCCGAGGGACGTTGTTTCCTGCTGCTCTTTGGGATCATTTCAACTTTCAGTGCCTTCTACTTGGAATGAAACAGGAACATAGCTTGGTTTTTCTGATGACTCCGATTTGTTGTTTTTTAAGAAGTTTTTCACTTCATCTGGAAACTTCTTTCAACCTTCTCTCTCTGGCCAGCACAAGCCTTCTCAGGGGGGTTCGTCTCATCGTGCTCCAGGCAGATAAGGATGGGATTCAAGCGCCCATGTGCTTCATTCCCGCTGTCCCACTTCTTTCCATAGGGGCTTAACCACAAGGCTTCTCCGGGGAAGCCAAGGAAACCAGCCCGGGATGGCTCTGGAGGCATCCAGGGTGGCCTTCCCCAGGGAGGACACGTCTGCTGTCTCCCCTCTGGCTCTCCAAGGGTCACGTGGGTCTCTCCAGGAAGGAAATGAGTTTTGGGAACTATCTTCAATGTGTTGCACCTCCGTAACAGGAGCTGCCCGGGCAAGGAAGGTCTCGTTTACCCCGAGACCACCCCAGGCAGCTCCTGGGGACCTTCTCGAGGGCTGCAAGAGCAAAATGCAGCTGAGGCTCACACTGAGCGGGGCTGAGAAGCAAGACGAGCCTCTGCGGATGGGGCATGAGCCACCCAAACGGGGCGCCTGGGAGGGAAGGAGCTCGCACAGCCCAGACCCCGCTCCAGCTCCTCAGACAAGCCGCGCACCACGCTCGGTTTTGTGGTGATGCAAGGGATACCCTGGAGACTGCAAATACGTTGTTTGTGTTATAAATGATTCAAAAGCACAGTGACAGGCTGAAGTGCGATGGAGCAGCTCATGAAGTGGCCTGAGGAGCCGTGTGCATCATTTAAATTGCGGCGAGAGAAGGTACTTCATATAACCCTTTGATGCCAAACCTGTCGTCTGTACTACGGACGTATCTGTGTGGTCCTTGCCCAAAGCGGCAGGGGTCACAAGGCTAACAGCATTGCTGTCGTTCACACCTCGTGTGAGGGCCACGTATCTGCACTGCAGGAACCGCGGGAACGCTACCGGGCGAGCCGGGGATAACATGGGAACGGGTGGGGGAACCACGCGGGGCCAGGCGACGGGATCAGAGTGCAAACCGATCTCAGCCTATCACAAAACTGCTCGGTAATAAATAAGCTGTGATTCACTATAGATAAGCGCAAAGTTTTCCTCTCGAAGGGAAAAAAAAAAATCAACGAAAGAAACTTCAGAACAGTTTGTGCCTGGGTAGGCAAAGAAAGACCAGAGTCTGGAGCGGAGCACAGCTGAGCCTCGCTCGGGAGCATCGCCCCCGGGACGGGATCGCTTCCCAGCCCAGCTGCCAGGGAAGGGGCGCTGCCGGGGCCGGGGCGCCCCGGAGAAGGGCCAGCCGCACGG